TGAAGGGTCAAAGCGGTGTGGAATAAAGGTAAATTGTGTGAAAAATAATGCGTTTTTTAAAAACGAAGCATTAGCACATGTTAGACTGCACCCCATAAACACAATCAAGCCTAGAAAAAAACCAGTGAACCACCCCTTTAAATTCGAATTGCAATTTAAAATCACATTTACTCCACTTCAAATTCAATTAAAATTCGAATAAAAATCAGGAACAGAAGTATTTGCAATTCACTTCTGAATGGCAAACAACCCTGAAGACATTGCTGCAGCTGACTCTAGTCCTTTAGATCTTGTAAAACCATATCCTCAGAGATAAAGCACTTACATGGGTTTTGTGAACATTCCAGAGACTTTCTTGCAGTTTTGGTTGTCTCCACCACACATACCGCATTTGTCAAACTTCATGTTGGAGCTCAGTTTGCCATCACAGCCAGCCTTAATGCACTTTCCCTGAACACAGACCGCTGAGGTATCAGGAGAACAAGGGGTTCCGTCCACCACCTGTCACACAGATAACATTCACATTCACTACACTCTTTTTAAGTATGGTAACTTAAAGGTGTTAAGTAATAACCAGTAAAACCTATAACCTTGGTTTTGCTAGCGCCATACACTACCAATTCATAGTTTTCACGTGACGTCACACCCTTACAGGAACGCCCACATGGAGGGCAAAACATAGTTTCCTCCACTGACCTCCAGTTATTTTTTACAAGGTTTGCATTAAGTAGTAATGCAGTAAGACAAGTGATATTTAAAGGCCAAATTCAGTACACACCTTATTGATTATGCATACTTTGTACAGGCAAGCAGATGAACCCAGAATATAAACGCAATGCGCAAAGTTTAATATGAAACATTTTCCCATAGAAAACCATTATAAAGAAGCCGCTTAACCATTTAGCACATTGCGTTCATATTCTGGGCTCATTTGCTTGCCTGCATAAATCATGCATCAGCAATAAGGTGTGTACTGAATTTGATCTTTTAATATTACCGTTTTCACATTAAACGTTTTAGAATGTCCCGCAGTTTTTAGGGATTTAAATATTGCGGTGGGTGATTTATATGGATTGCTAATGGCCAGTACTTGTATTTTGTTCACATACCTTTGTTTTATTCTTTTGAGAGATGATCTAAATATTTTTGGATTGGAACAGATAGAAAATCGACAGGCTTGTGCTGCAGTTCTATGGATGTTTTGCCCGCCAGGTCTTCAAGCCGGTCATGTGACTGAAAACTCAATTGAGCTACAGAAACACTTCTAGCTCTCCTTGCCCATATTTCATCAAATTATTTTTATTTATGTATATGAAGTATACAGATCTTAAAATTAAAAGTATATACATAGCTGTTCAAAAGTGTGGGGTCAGTAAGATATTTTTTGTGTAAGAAGTCTCTTGCTCACCAAGGTTGTATTTATTTGATTAAAATGTAATTTATTCCTGTGATGCAAAGCTGAATTTTCAGCACCATTATTCCAGTCTTCAGTTTTACAAGATCCTTCAGAAATCATTCTAAAACTGATTTGCTGTTTACTTATTTTTATTTATTTATTTATTTAGTGGAAACCGTAATACATATTTTAGGATTCTTTGATGAATAGAAATTTCAAAACGAACAGCATTTATTTGAAATAGAAATGTTTGTAACATTATAAATGTATTTACTGTCACTTTTGATCAATTTAATCCATCCATGCTGAATAAAAGTTATAATTTCTTACATAACATACAGAACTACCACATTTTGCTATAAGTTTGATTGCATCATATAATAATTGCTGTTAATAGTGTTCATCATCTGTTTTATTACGTCTTAAATTGATTTTTCCGTACATTTCTGCCATATGTACATTAATTGACAGTCACCACTGATAAGCTACCACTAAATATTGTAGAAACTTAATTTGCTGTAAAGTTGCTTTGCAATGATTTGTATCGTGAAAAGCGCTGTACAAATAAACTTGACTTGACTTGACTTGATTTCTTTAAAAAAATGTGTGTATATATATATATATATATATATATATATATATATAAAGTGAAGGTATATATAAAAAAATGTATATAAATAATAATAAAAGTTAATATAAGAATGCTTTTTTTCATATTTAATATACATAGCATGATTTTGGTCCAATGAGTTGTCATGTGGGTGTGGCTAGTACAGTGACTAACAGAATGTAGCATCACTCGTCGCTTTGCACACAGTTTTAGTTGTGTAACTAATGTAAGCTGATACACTATAGCTGTCTAGGTTACTGAAACTGTGAGTGTTTTTGTCTTCCCATCTACGTCATGTGTGATTATGAGAAGCAGCCCTGCACTGTGTCTTTCCACATGGCCATATCTGAGAGATAAGCTCTCACCATTACTTTTTAAAAGTATCTTGTTCGCTTTGGAAAGGGAGGGGATGTTATTCTTTCCATGAGAGAAGAACTGCACACTGGCTCCTTTTGCTCATGAACTATGAATGTCAAACAACTTTGCAGTATTTAAGCATTTATTTTAATTTATTTACCTTCTGTGCAAGGACATAGAAGTATCCAGTGCCGTTGGCTCGGCAGATGAGCTTGCATCTGTCCTTAACAGACACTCCAGAGTATTTCGGAACCCAGACCACAGATGGGCTCAGTCTGTTAGTGTTCAGACTGATGCCATTGAACGCCTCACACTGCTCCTCTCGAAAGCTCTTTCCTGTCACAAACAGATGGTCATTGTCAGACACGAATATTGACTTATGCATATTGTTTAACATTAGACTGAAAAATATTTCATTTACCTGAGTCTTTACAGGGCTTTAAGTTGCATGAGCGATACTTCACTCTCAGTCCCTGACAGTACTTGCCCCCGTTTTCAGGGACAGGGTTGTTACAGTCCCTTTTGGCGAGCTGCACCCCTCCCCCACAAGTACGGGAGCACAAACCATATGGACCCCACCGACCCCATTGTCCGTCTGCCTGCGGAAAGAGTCCACACGTCTCAGAAACAATTACATCCTTGCTGAGAAGACTGGCAAACATCTTCAAAAAGACTAGCATTTAAATGTTCATTGTCGGCAGAAATATATCATGAGCATTATACACCACAAAAAAAAATAAAAATTTATAAAATTAAAATAAAATAAAATAATAAAACAAAACAAACAAACT